ATCACAGTTTCAACCACACCACGGGTTTTTGACCACACAAAACAGAACAAGGATTGGACCCAGTGGAACCCAAGCCATTCAAATCCGGAAGTGCTACTTCAGACAACTGCAAGGATGACTGGTAATGGGTTATGCATATTTAATGAAAAGTTTTTTCCCCTCAAAGCCTATGATGCTGCAAAGGTCAATCATCGGGACACAGTGGGAAATTTAGCTAGTATCTCATCAAGAAATTCTTAGTGGACTTTCATGAGGATACTTAATTCCATTTGGGAGTCATTTATCAATTATACCATGTGGGTATATTTTTATTTGCTTCATTATAAAAATGAATATGTTCGAAGGGTTTATGGTGCTGTCTTTGACAAACTGATCATAGTGGAATAATAATGGAACATGAAGAAATTCCAAGTCCATTGATTTTCTCTTGAGACCAATTAGGTAAAGTCACTCAAAATTTTTGAGAGTGGATGCTCAGAGATAATACTTTGGCGTAGAATTGTTAAATAGCATGCACTTTAATGGAAGAACAGAATCATTAAAGCTTGATTGATAACAAGTCACAGTGTATTTAACCATCATCACAGCAGATGTAGACAGAAATGGCACCACTGCTCATGAAGGAAACTGGAACCAGGAAGCACATCCTCCCATCATTCACCATGAGCATCATGAGGAAGAAGAGACCCCACATTCTACAAGCACAAGTAAGCAAGATGGCGGTCGGCAGTTCTGGGTTAGATGAGTTAGTGAAGACATTCCAGCAATAGGGAAGATTTTGTTTAGAAATTGGCCACATCTTCTATTTCCACTTAGTAATTTATTTTATTCTCAGAGCCTGAAAATCTGCCAAACTTGCACACAAATTTTAAAAATTGGAAGGAAAATGATAACACTTCAGGTTGCCCAAAGACCAAAATGTTTTAAGAAGTAGATCTAGATACAATTTTTGTGTTAAAAGTTCCTAGAGGTTACATTTGGGTAACTTGTGTGTGTTTATGGAAATGTGTGGCAAAGTGTGTTCTTTTGGTGCTTAGTAGTGAAATCTGGAAAGAAAGCTTGTCAAGTGAATTGATCTTTGGAATCCTTATTTTCTATGAAGATCTTTGATGAATATAGTTTCTTTTTTGCTTTCTGTCCTTGACTGTTCTATAGTCCCTTGTACTCTTTAGAACAAAGTTGGTAGCTCGTATGGTCTGCATTTGAATTCTACCACTGCTTCTTTTTCTGTTTTTAAGCCCAAGGTAACTTGGGGAAGGCTTTGATGCTCTTACTGTTATTTCTACTATTATGAAAACTTGTCAATTTTTCTAAAACAATCTCAAGTTGCAGCACTGGACTGTGAGAATAGGGGACCCCCTCACTCCCCAAACATAAGAAGTAAGTGCTTTTCTTCTTTTATCTGTTCCACTGAGATATGTCTATCTTATTTGGAATAAGAGTATTTATTTTGGAAAACAGCTTTTTAGCATTTTTAAAATGATGATTTGACTGTCATTCTCACAGCCCTAAATACACCTAATGGGGAAATGTGAGCTATAGCCACTTAAAAACCAAAGGGCTTTGGAATCTATAGCTTGAGGTGTGTCTTCAGACAACAATAGAAAAGTTTCAGGTAGCAGCTAGGATAGAGGTTAGATGTTGTACTTAATATATCCAGCAGACCTTACATTCCACTACAAACACCAGTAGATCTGATGTATGCATAAGGCTTACGGACTAAGTTAACAAAGAATCTAGGAAAAGAAAATACAGAGGAAGCATAAATCTCTTTGGAATAGGATTTTGTTCCAGTCCCTTACAGCCCTAACAGTATATCTTAGAAATTGTTTTAGACAGTTTGTACTTAAAGACCAGAAAGCTACTTTAGAGACTTGGAAATAATGAGCCTATTGTCAAAAGGTGGTGCTTGGGGGGCATTAGGACTAGAGGGTAGGTGAAAATTCAGACAGAATGTAACTTGACAAAGAGAAGACAGCAACAACTGTAACAATTCTTTTATGAATATTTGCGAAACTCGAAGGGATCTGATTGGTGACCTCTGGTCTTTATCAAATTAACATCACAACTTCTAGAAGAAAGCCAACCTTCATCTTTTACAGTAGAAATCATATGTTTTGTGAACCCATTCCTATTTAGGCTGAAAACAATAAAGAGTTATGGGTACTTTAAAAACTCGTTAAAGTAGTGATAGAAGGAGTATAGAGTCCTTCTGTGCAGTCACACACATACACTTCCTTATTTCTTTTATTTAAACTTTGAGTAATGTGGCATGGCAGTCTATGTTTGGGTCAATGTTCCCTTTTATATAATTACATTCAGTGGTTTTTCTGACTTCATTATTGGTTGGGAATTAGTGATTTAGTCAGTGGTAGGTAAAACTTAAGATTTTGGCTTTTTCCCCCTCCCCCTGGATAACCAGTTAACCCAATAATGGCTTGGCCAATGTAAGGGTAAAATGAGGACTGTTTTATTTTTTAAATGTCATTGCTGTCACCAAATCACACATATCATTTTCTAAGATAATGAAATACAACCATTTCACAAGTTGCAAAAAAATACTCTGGCTTGGCAAGTTAATAGACTCTCATTTTCTTGATAAAACAAAATTGCTTTAAGTTGCTATGGTTAAAAATGTTGGTGGCTTTCTGACTTCCTGAAGGCACTTTGATGGAATTTTATTCTGTTGATTTTGTCCTTTTTAAAATAATGGTTGAAATTTTAAGCCTGTCACACACTATTATTTATATAATGCCTCAAACTGGCTTGGATAGTTTTCGTCAATTGAATTAATTTTGTTAAAAAGTGATTTTAGCAATTTTCGGCGCCATGTGAACATTGCCACATAATATGTTAGTGAAATAGCATTCAAGCCATCCCAACACCTTTCCTGCTGGGCAAATCCACTGCTGGTGCATTTCCAGTGTGTGCAATTATGGGTTACATGACCACCATGTGAGATGGTCTTCTAATGCGCTGATCTTGTCAGTTGTTATACAGTATTTTCCTTTCATCAGAATGACTGGAGCGAAGAGGTTATTCTTTGAATGGTTTTCTAAGACAGGGTATGTGACGCCATACACTACAGTAAAATAAAAATAATGATAATTCATAGAACTCTGAGAATTCATCAGCTATGGTCTGTTTAGTCCTGTGGTTTTGAACAAATCAAAACCTCTTTGGACCACAATGTTCCCATCTGAAAAATTAAATGTTTGGATCATTTTATTTCTAATATCCCTTTCAGAATATCAGTGGCCTGTTTCCTTGCTGCTTTTCTTTTCTACCTTTTGTTCCCATGTGTATCTGCCCTTAAAGTAGAAAGATACATTGACAGCTATTGGCAAGGAAAACAGACAATTATGTCTCCCAACTGATATTCTTCTCACAGTCCAGGCAATTCCTAGTAGTACAACTGAAGAAACAGCTACCCAGAAGGAACAGTGGTTTGGCAACAGATGGCATGAGGGATATCTCCAAACACCCAGAGAAGACTCCCATTCGACAACAGGGACAGCTGGTAATGGGTGGTTTAACAAGTAAATTTGGATGGCAACTCCCTTTTGGGTTAAATGGTAGACATTGAGGACACTGAACAAAAGGACATTGGAGGAATTGTCACAAGATGTTAGGTTACTTAATAAATTATGCTGCAGTTAACACAGAGCCAAACCTTAAAGGCTCATAACAAGTCACCTGAACAGGAATGGATACAAGCCAGTTACGAATAAGAACAGGAAACACAGAGAACATGCCCTTGAACATGTCTCTTTCACACCGAGTTCTGGGCATTATCTAGTGAGATTGTAGCAGAGGCCCTGATAAAATATCCCCTTTTGTTGTATAAAGGAATCTACTCTAGAATATGGGTCCAGACTTTACAATGTGGTTCTGCAAAGTCTGATTTGTGAGAAAGCATTTTGCCAGAACTCCAGTGTTTAAAGAAATAGAGCCAGACATTATGTGAAAAATGACACCTGTCTGATGTCATTTGGCCTTTTGGCCATGCCTGTTTGGTAATTTGTCCTTGAGTATAAACAAGCCATCTTCTCTATTCTTGAACTGTGAGATTGTGGAAATTGGAATCAAGTCTTATCATCATCTCTAAGTGATACCAGGTGACTTGGCTCTGCAAGCTCCCATGTGGGATTTTTTGTCTGTGTGACATAAGTATTGAAATGTGTCCTGCCTTATCAAGAATGTGAATTCCATATTCTCACTTGGTATCAGTGAGAAATATTCCCATATTTCTATTTGCAATATAGAAGATAATACGTCATGTACTTCTGGGGCATGGCAAGTTCTGAATGAATTCCTGGCATACCAGACAATGGTTCTTAACTGTCTATGTGGTGTGGTTGTTGCTAGAGGATGCTGTTGCAATCTTTTCTACCTATATTCCCCACTCCTGGCTCAGAATGAAGCAAGGCATGTGCTGCTTTCTTATATGTCATTTATGCATATTCTCACCTCGTATCAGTGAGAAATATTCCCATATTTCTATTTGCAATATAGAAGATAATCGTCATACTTCTGGGGCATGGCAAGTTCTGAATGAATTCCTGGCAGAGCAATCGTCATGTACTTCTGGGGCATGGCAAGTTCTGAATGAATTCCTGGCAGAGCAATGGATTCTGTGACTGTCTATGTGGTGTGGTTGTTGCTAAGAGGATGCTGTTGCAATCTTTTCTACCTATACTTCCTCATTGGCTCAGAATGAAGCAAGGCATGTGCTGCTTTCTTATGTCATTTATGCCATAAATCCCGTTGTCAGGTAATGCTTCTAACGGATTCCATTCATGCTTTTTTGATAAATGGCATTGACTTTCATATTGATCACATGGAAATCTGTTACCTGATTCCTTTCCTGAGATCACTTCCAGCCTAATGTGCATTCGGCTGGAATATGGTTGTCTCAGAATAACATAATGCACTCGGGCTTTTATACTTCTGCCGTTAGGGTACTGTGGCAGCATGGCACAGGTCAAGAACTACTCCTTCATCTTCCTATGATGTCTGTAACTCATCCTCTCTGCACTGCAGGAGTCGTTGATGCTTTTGTGTCCTCCAGTTCACATGCTGATTGCTAAGAAGAAAATGAGCATGAGTGAACCCAAACCTGCTGAAACATTTTGCGTTTATGCAACTTCCTTGCCCTCTATACAAGGAAGACGGTTTCATTGTCTTGTCTAGAGAATAAAGTCTTTTTAAACAATAAAATCAGTGTATTCCTGACCAAGCGTCCATTAACACTTTGACAATTGCTCCAACTGCATGGTCTCAGCAGCCTCAGCTCTTACCAGCCATCCAATGCAAGGAAGGACAACACCAAGCCCAGAGGACAGTTCCTGGACTGATTTCTTTGACCCAATCTCACATCCCATGGGACGAGGTCATCAAGCAGGAAGAAGGATGGGTAATAGCCTCTGAGATTTTTATATATTCTGTTTTTTGAAATCCATTGACTGCTGACTATTTTTCTAGAAATATGCCCTAGGTTTAGACCAAACTACTTTCCTGAAGGACTTGAGATTCTTCAAAAATTAGTTTTCTTGGTAGGAGTGATACACATATTCACCTGAATATGAAATTCCGAGCTGAAAGTAAAGAATTTAGCAGGAGAGTTGGCAAAAGTTGGCAAAAGAAAACATTTATTGTCAAAATATATCTGTGTGAGGCAGTAAGTAATAGATGTGAAATGAATGTTGCCAACAATAAACGCTAAAGAAATTCTGAGAACCCCTCCCCACCCACCGCAGCATCACAGAAAGGTGAATTGGATCTGGTTTATGAAAAATTTAAAAACCCTGGATAGTCAGAGAAAGGAAGTGGGTGGTGGGGGTGGGGGGCAGTTTTCCTAAGAAGGAGACTCATTTAAGGAGAAATGTGAAGGAAGAAAAGCCAAGGAATGAATATGTCAAGTGAGTAGATCCATTTTTCACAAAGGAAGATGTGTTTGAATGGCTGGGGAGGGGCCATTATGTTGAGTGACTGAAGTACCACAGGCAGACCCAGCACACATGAGTTTGCACATGGCAGCTGGAGCTCTGAGGAGCTGGAGCTCTGAGATATGGGGGAAAACCAAGCCAGGCAAAGATCTTCAGAATCAATATTAAGTCTATGTACTGATGAAGAGAAAGAGATTCCATTAAATTAATGAACATGTCAAGGACAATACAATTGGCTTCAACTACACAATGGTATGATAACTCTTGAAGGACTCTACTTCTAAGAGGGAAGATGAACAAGAGTCTAGATCCCATCATCAAGTGGGACTTTTTCTGGGAGAATGTCCATTTGTGGTTTTGATTCAGGTTAGCACTTGCTCTTGTTTGAAATCTGGGATAGTAGAGTCACCACATTTTTGTCCTACAAAGATCTTGAATATTTTAGTGTTGAATATTTAGTGTTGAATCTTGAATATTTAGTGTTGAAAGCTGCAGTGCACACGTAGGTACCCAGTATTCTGGTGCTTCGCTGGAACTGATTAAATCTCCCCAGAGGCAGTGGTGTGGATAGACTTTGACTGAATTGGAGAGCCAGCAATATAGATGGGGTTTATAAATCGTTTGGCCTCTGTTTCACTCAAGACTTCTTATTTCAGCAGAATAGATCTGTGATAACTATTAAAAACAACATTTACAAGTATCTCAGTGAAATTTCTGCACTACTCAACATTGTACAAGTTAAATTTTAAAGACCGCTTATACTTGGGTTTTGGGGAAGAATAATTCAATGATATCTACTGCTTCTTATTTCTTGCCCCTGTATATTTTCTGTAACTCCACCTAGGTGTTATTGAATGCTGATTTTGTGTTTGTTTGCATTTTCACTCTGTGAAGAGAAAAAGACTAAAGGGGGGAAGAGGGCTATTTTTACAAGTCCCTTTGGTTGGTAAGGGGGAGGGGATAAAATGATGCCTGAGCCAGCACACTTTATCTTTTCTCCATGTGTCAGATTGCATGTTTCTATAAAAAAGGCAATGTTTCTGTCTCTCTGCAAGCTTTGGGTGTTCCATCATGCGCCCATGTAGAGTCCTTCCAGACTCAGCAAAAACAAACACGAATCATAGCTTTCATATAACTCGGCCCTTCAAGGAAAGTCAGTTACTTATTGTGGTGCTCTTGATGAAACAATAATCTATCTCAGTTCTGGAGATATAGTCAGTATGTGCTTTCTTTCCTCTTGGCCAGATGTGAATATTTTAAAAAATCAGTTGTAGACCATAAGCCACCTTCGGGTAGTGGGTTTGGGAAATCAAGCATTAACACTAACATTGATTCCTTCAGACATGGACTCCAGTCATAGTACAACGCTTCAGCCTACTGCAGATCCAAACACAGGTTTGGTGGAAGACTTGGACAGGACAGGACCTCTTTCAATGACAACGAGTAAGAATAACGATGCTCAGCCTCTTTATTGACTTGTATTCCTGCTTCATCTCTTACACCCTATTGGCCAAGATGCAGAACTTTGGTGGTGGAATGGTGCTATGAGGCTCACCTCAGCCCAGAGTGTGAAACTGTCTTCATTGTCTACATTTCTTGTGGAGGTCTCTCAAGCTGATTTTCCCTTCATTTCTTGGTGCCTTCCAGATTCAATGACTTTGTGTTTTTAAAAAAGTAGAACTCTATTCAACTCCATTTTCATTCTCTAAGTAGTTATGTCAGTGAAACACAAGCCCACTTCCAGGATATCTCTATGTTTTAACTGACCATTTCCTTTCAATATCCATCTTTCCTCCAGCCAGTGCAGAAGAGGGGTAGGATTGCTTGCATGGTTCTAAAAAGACATTTTTGGGGCCAGATAATCCTAGAGATCACATCAGTTCTTAGAGGAGAGGCAAGGCATGTTATTGACAATCAACAAAGGTGACGGGATCCCTGGAACAACAACAACAACAACAAAAATTGCTAGTATCTCTTTCTGTCACTAAGAAATGTTCAACTTCTAGTAGCCTTAATTTCTACTGTATGTGCAGGGATGTCCTAGAGATCAGCCTAAAGTCATTCATAATTTCTTTGAAGAATACAAAAGAAATCTAGAATTAAGAAGGTCCCATTTTATTGCTTGCCACACACAATGGGCAGAGTCCTTCATATGAGCCCTTTAGGCAAAGGAAAAAAATCAGCAAGCATGTATTGATTGTCAGCAATGTAAATAGCACAGCGTTAAGCATCAAAGGAGATGCAAATAAGCCTATGAATGGCCCTTGCCAAAGAAGGACTTTTATTTCCATTTTATGTCACTGTTGGCTTTTGTTCTGACATTGGGCTTGGGATTTGGTGACTGTCTCTCTCCTGTGTTGTAATATTTCTTTGGTGGTGGGCATGGCTTATGGGTGTGCTTTATGAAGTTTTTGTACCTGCAACTCAGAGGTCAGTACCTTTCTTGAAAGAACACAAAAATAAACTTGAAACAGTCCAAGTGATTTTAGATATGGGCAATGGTTCAACCTCAAATTGGTATATGTCACTGAGGGCCCTGTGTTTGCCCAGGCAAGCGTTTCCTTGGTGCAGAGATGAGAATCCCTACACACAGGTGAAATTAAATAATAATAATAATAATAATGGAGTAAAATGGTAACTTTAATTTGATGACCTTTACAAGGTAGCTAAGTATTTCCTTGTATAAATTTGATGTGTGTTACTCGAGTAGGCTATTCTAGATAGGCTTCTTTTTCTTTTGTGGTTACAAGTAGACTGCAGGCTATCATAGTGTTCATTTTCCCTACAGTCACATGTCTTAACACACAGTTAGGTGCTCTTGATTACTGATAGGAGCATTGGGATTCAAATATTCTTTTTTCCATGTCTCTGTGTTCTCTGGTTTTCCTGAGTGACTGGGAGCAATGCTACAATTGCGCCAGGACAATCCAGGGTAGGCAAAGTTTTGGCTCATTCTTCACCTTGCCACATTACCTTTGATGATTATACTGAGAAATAAAGGATTTTTGGAACCAACTAGGGGCAAAATAGAATTCTGTATATTTCTATCAATCAGAGGAGAATGGTGTGCACAAACCTTGGTCTTCTTGTGCACCTATCCATCTGACTCTACTCTAGCCAGATCTTCCCTGCTAGCAGATAACAGGATTTGTACCATAGCTTCAAATTAACACTGGATTCATCCCTCATTGAAACAGAGCAGAGTAATTCTCAGAGCTTCTCTACATCACATGAAGGCTTGGAAGAAGATAAAGACCATCCAACAACTTCTACTCTGACATCAAGCAGTAAGGATTATAAAATCTAGTTGGCTTCAGCTATTGATAAGAATCAATCAATTATGGGTACTTTTGCAGTGTCTTTGGTGGAGGTGCATCGATTAGCTGCTGTTACGCTGTTACTTTTAATCAAAAGGTGTGTCTGGTGGTGGTTTTCTGATTTTCCTGTTTTATATACTCTTTGAACATTAAGTGGAAACTACATTTCTTAGTCTTAAAGGTTGGATTTCTTTCACTCTAGGGTTAGTGCTTTGTTTTAACCATAATGGATTGCTTATATATGATTTATTTTATTTATTTATTTTTGTTAACTTGAGATCTTTCTAACTTTTTTATGTGGGCATTTAAATTTAGTGCTATAAATTTCCCTCTTACTACTGCCTTAGCTGTGTCCCAGAGATTTTGGTACGTTGTATCTTTGTTCTTATTAGTTTCAAAGAACTTCTTGATTTCTGCATTAATTTTATCATTTACCCAAAAGTCATTCAGGAGCAGGTTATTCAATTTCCATGTAATTATATGGTTTTGAGTGAGTTTCTTAGTCTTGATTTCAAATTTGATTGTGCTGTGGTCCAAGAAACTGTTTATTATTTCAGTTCTTTTGCATTATAATTTATAATTGGTGTAAATGTCTGATTGTATCACTTTATATTCCTCACAATAATATTATTTTGCCTTTTGTCCTCTGGACCTACATGGTGCTGATGACTAAAAAGCAGTCCCTTCTGGAAAAGAAAAGAATAATTAATTTAGTAGCCTCTGGCCCTTGAAACCATACATTTGCTGTTCTAATTGCAAGCAGCAAAATTTTATCTTTCAATCCAATGGTATGTTCCCTCCACTTCATCAAAGATGAATCC